ACTGCGCTGCCGGCGGAGCCTACCCGGCAGCCAAGTCCCAGGGAGAGAGTTCCACTGAAGACCTAAAATTCCGTGCGCCTGGCGGGGAAAGCCTGCCCGGTTCCCAGGACGTCACGCGAGCGCTCCGGCCGCCGAGATCATTGGCGGGAGCTTCCCCTCCTCGCGCCGACTCCCCGCGTCTGCGTCCGCGCCGCGCTCTCCGCCTCTCGGCAGGTGCGGCAGGTCCTGCGGCGTCTCTTTGGGCGTCTTTCATTGGTGCGGGTTTTAAGTGGCTTTCCAGCCAGAAGTGCAGTTCGGGAACAAGCCATTTTTTGTGCCATTGCTCCCACCACACCTGGTGCAGTCCTCATAAAACAATCCCATTCATTCCAACTTTGCAGGAAAGGAGCTTAAGGACAACCGGTGGTTTTACAACTTTGTCTTACAGTTTTAGAAATAACTATCCAAGTTTATTTTTTAAAATCAAGAGCTACCTTGATATAGAGATAAACCTTTTTTTTTTTTTTTTAAGCTTCATCACTATTCACAGTCTATCCAGTAAATAACAACAGTTTATCTGGTAAATATGAACAGAGATATAAAAATCTTGGAAAACTTTTTTTTAAAGGCAACTTGGAAAATACTGAAAAGCATAAATACAAAAATTATCTGTAAGCCTACAACTTAGAATTTACCAGTATTAATTTTTGGGTCTATCTTTACATTTTTGAAATCTGCCTGTAACTCCTTTTAAAAACTCAAATAGAACCGAACTAGTTATTTTCCAGACTTGTTTTCATTTAATATACCTAGAACACTGGGGCACCTGGGTGGCTCAGTTGGTTAAGCCTCCAATTCTTGATTTCAGCTCTCCTCATGATCTCAGGGTCATGAGATGGAGCCCCTGGTCCGGCTGGCCCTCAGCACAGAGTCCACTTGTCCCTCTCTCTCTGCTTCTTCCCCCACTCGCTCTCTCTCTCAAATAAATAATAAAACATCTTTTAAAAAATATACCTAGAACACTTGCCCATGTCATTGGTTTATGTGAACACAAAATTTTGTGAAAATTTCCAAAGTTAGTACATAAAAGTGAGGAGTACAACTAGCGTTGCCATATACCTCATTGAGCTCTGAAAATGGTCAACATTTTGCCATATTCACTTAACTTTTTCTGGAGTATTTTTTTTTTTTAAGATTTTATTTATTTTACAGAGAGAGTGAGAGAGCACAAGCAGGGGGAGCAGTAGAAGGAGAGGGAGAAGCAGGCTCCCTGCTGAGCAGCGAGACCTGGGATCATGACCTGAGCCGAAGACAGATGCTTAACCATCTGAGCCACCCAGGCGCCCCTTCTGGAGTATTTTAAAGCCAATCTCAGGAATGTTACTTTATCCCTAAGTACTTTAGTATACATTTTTTAAAAAGACATTTCTTTACTCGAAATGCCATGTTCACACCTCACAAAATATTTTCTTAATATCCTGAAAATTTCCCAGCATCCAAAAAAGTCCTTTTACATTTGATTTCTTTGAATCAAACCAAGGCTATTCAATGTATTTTTTGTTGTCTCTTCAGTCTGTTTTAATCTACAACAGTCCCTTCACCCACTCCCCCTTTTTATGCTATTAACATGTCCAGTCAGTTGTCCTACAGAATGCACCACATTTTATAATGGCTGATTGCTTCTTCTGGTGTTCTTTGTTCTTCCACCCTACTTACTACGTATATACTGTGCCTGATGAGGAAAACAAAGGCAAGAGATATGTGGCCTAAATGAAATCTCCTTACAGCTTGCAGCACACTGATACCTGAAACACTCAGAGCCTAACATTCCACAAGGAATCATGGCCGCCTTAATGCCTCAATGTTTATGTTTTATTGAAGACTAAAAGCAACCTTATCTTGACAGTAGCTAAATCTTCAAGGTTCTGTAAGACCTTGCTTTCAGCATATAGAAATTCCTTAAAAACTTAATGTTATCTCTCCCTCCCCTCCTTCCACAAACTTAAAAGTATATAGTCAGTCACACCTCACACTCGCAGGTGCAGCTCTCTCTGCCCATGGGTCTTTGTCCTTGTGATATAATAAAATCACCTTTTTGTACTAAAAACATCTCAAGAATTCTTTCCTGGTCATTGGCTACTGGACCCAAACTTCAAATCATATCATGCCTATCGCTCCAAAGCCTTGATTAAATTCCAGCTCAACTTTGGGGTTGGGGGAGGTAATGAGAAGACTTCATGGGTGATGCCGTACACTTGACATTGTAGCACATCAGGAGGCTTATGATGTCTGGTTGTCTCATTCTTAATGATGCTAAGATTGATCAGTGGCTTCAATGGGTTATCTCTTCATAATGAATTTCTCCATCAACATCTCACCTCATGCTTTCACCATACATTGCTGACCACTGTCTGAAGCAGTTATTTTATTAGGAGGCTGCAAAATGGTAATTTTCCTAACTCTAACATTCCTTCAGCATTCTTCAGTTGAGATTCTTTTGAACAGAACTATCACTATTCATTAGAGCTATTGACTATGCACAAATAGAATTAATATCAGAAAGGCAAAATACATCCTTATTTCCTCTTACAAATTTTCAGAGCATCCAATGTTTTTGTTTCTCTTTTTTTTAATCATTATGAATTTGTGACTTTTTGTATAACATGTTTTAATGTTACAATCTTTCATACCAATGTTGAGTTTGTCCCATCTTAGGCCAATGGAGGCACCTTCAAATTGGAACTTGTGTCCTTTTGATATGGTCACATTCATTTTTAATAATGTCCTTGTTTTCTGGTACAAGACATCCCAGGCTCACCTTGGTTATATACTGTCCCAAACTTGGAATTAGCCATTTCTCCAAAGAGCCCTGGTCTCTGTGATGGGAAATAGTATTTAGAAACCACAATCTAGATGCTAGAAGTACTCATTGCTAGTCAGTCATCATTGTTTCTAAACATTTTTAGTGGACAGAACTAGAAAATACGTAACTTTTTTAAAAGTGCAAAAAGCGTGAGTTCACACTAATATTTCTAATTAAAATTTAAGATTGCAGAGTTTGATTCTGCAACCAAAGATTCTGAAGTTTCTGAAATCTAATTTCTTTAATCTGTCCTTAGAACTATTTCATAATAGCCACATCAATATTATAGCAGCAATGAGACTAGTAAATGAAAGTTTAAAATTTTGTTATAGTTCTTTTTACCCTTAGAGTATATCCTGATAAAGATACAAATTCAAAATACCTTTTGTAAGATTGGGTATCTCTGTCACCAACTTGATAGTTATTTTCATTCATTTCAGTTGGTTTTCAAGTTAGCTGTCCTCTAGTGATGTTACTTAGGTTGTTCCTTTTTTCCATTTTTGCTGTTACAAACCATACTATAGTGAAATTTTTAAAAAACATTTATTTTAGAGAGAGAAAAGGTGGGAGGAGGGGCAGAGGGAGTGGGAGAGAGAATCCCAAGCAGACTTCCCGCTGAGCACGGACCCTGACATGGGGCTTGATCTCATGACCCTGAGATCATGACCTGACCCCAAATCAAGAGTCAGACGCTCAATCCACTGAGCCACCCAGGCGCCCCCGAAATTTTTGTATTTTTTCAAGAGAATTTTCACTATAGTTTCCTAAAAGTGAGACTACTGGGTTGTATGATTGTATATGCCTATGTAATTTTGCTGGATATTGTCAAAATCTTTTCTATAAAGTTTGTATCATTTTGCATTCCCTCCATCAATGTACCACAGGAATCAGCTGGGTAATAAAAAGGAAGAGGCTGGGATTATTAGAACCCAGAACCTTGGCGGCTGAGGAGAGGGTCCTGCTCAGCTACTGTTTAATACCTCAGGAGCTAGGAAAGGGCTTCTAGGAGTCAGAACGCAGATCTCAAAGAAGGCTTGTGGCACAGATGGCTGGGACACCTCAGGAGCCTGAAGGAGGCTCCCTGAGGAGCTAGGCCTGAGGCCCGTGAGGGGCACAGCCCAAGTAGTGCTGGTACCTCCATGGGGGCATTATGAAGCCGGTTCTAGGAATGCTAAATTGACTGGTGACAAACCAACTGCTGCCCCGAGGGAATCACCATTGCTGAGGGGATGTTGACAGGGAACCCAAGCAAAAAAGGAACAAGTTTTTTGTCCCTCTTTCTGATTTTGTCTCTATCACCCCTTGCTGACAGAAGCTTAAAAAGTCAGCTAGCAAAGAAAAAAAAATGTGATTTGTAGAGTTCCAGAATCACACAGCAAATTGTAGAGAGGTGGGCTTGGAGGTGAGAGACAATGGCTGGCACATACTAAAAAGTGGAATTTATTCCATGAAAGTAAGAATGTTTCAGTATCAACAAATCAGTGAATATAGTTTGTTATATGAACATACCTAAGGAGAATAATCATATCCCTTTGTGCTATTAAGCTATTATGTTTCAGCTTCAAATCCACATGTCTCACTCCACTTGTTAAGGCCAGGCCTTTACAAAACCCCATTTTTCCCTTTGCCAGGCTCCCTTTCAGTCTCTGGCAATAGAAGGAGATAGAAGCAAACTGCAAGTATGGTGGAGGAAAAGAAATTTGCTCCTTCCTGTTTGCTACTTGTTCCTGTCAGCATCATCACAGAAATGGCTCACCCTTGCAGGAACAACGGACTTCAGAAGCAACAGAGGGTTCCAGTCTGCAGCTGTTCCACACTATCAGACCAGTCTTGTCCTAGCCCGTCAGGGAAACAGCACTAACCTGTTGCACACCTTCCCTAGAGTCCTGGAACTCTTCCTCCAAGCCTTCAGGTTTCAGTAATTCCATTCTTTTTTCTTTGCATCCCCAGCCCCAGAGTACTTCCCATAGTTACCTCCTCTATGACACTCCAGTGGTCCCTTGTTTAGTTCTGTACTATATGGCTAACAATTTATAAAATAATTGTGGTTTCTATCTCTTGGCTGGACCCTAACTCATACAGTCTCTATCAATGTCAAAAGTCACTTGACAAAAATTCAACACTCAGTCATGATTTTTTAAAGAAGCACTCAATAAAATAATTGATAGACAATACTTTAATGTGATTATAAATTATACATAACCAGCTCAAAACCCAGCATCTTACTTATTAGGGTAAAACCAAAGGCATTCCCATGAAAATCAGGAACAATACAAGGGTACCTATTCTTCTCACTACAATTTAACATTTTACTTAAGGTAGCAGCCATATAATTAATTAGACAAAAGAAAGCAATGAGATGCATAAGATTTGGAAGGGGAAAAAAAAAAGAGGTAAAGTTAACCTAGTTTTCAGGACATATGTCTGGAAAATACTACAAACAATGAATGTTCAGTAATTAACATACAGAAATCAATAATGAACATATATATGCAAATAATTAGAAGAGAGAATCAAAGGGAAGATCCCATTTTTATTACCAAGAAAAAAAAAATTCCTAGGCATAAATTTATTAAGAAATATGTAAAAGCTCTAGGAGAGGGAAACTTTGATACTCCCCCTAAAGTCTACGGAGTATGGTAGTGGGGCATAAACAGACACACAGACCAATACAACAGAAAATTGAGAAATAAATTTAAGTGTACGTGGAAATACAACATAAAAAAGGGTAGCATTTCAAATCAGTAATGGAGAACATGGACCTTCTCAATAATGGGGGAGTCATTTGGAAAAAGGTTGAAGTTGCATTCATATCTCATATCATAGAAAAAAATTCCACATGAATCAGAAATTTAAATGTAAAACAAAATGAGACCATGGGTAAATGTCTTTATAATCTGGAAGAAGGAAAATTCTTTCTTACTGTGACCAAATTCCACCAGCAATAAAAGGTTGATAAATTTGACTACATAAACTGAAAAATAATTTACATGGGAAGGGAAAAAAAGAAAAAACTCACAGAAAGGAGGAAAAATAGAAATAAGCAATAGGGACAAAAATATAATACTGGAGACTGCCTCTAGGAGGTCCATAGTCTCCAAGTAATAGGTGTATAGGAAAGAGAACAAAGATTGTCAGGGTGCCAGGCTCTTAATCTTTGTGTAAACTGTTCCTTTAATAAGGCCTCCACTCAACCCACATTGTTGATATTATGAGTAAGTTCCGTGGGACTCTGTATTCCTACAGCAATTCCTCAGAGTTTGGTCCTAGGACAGTCTGCCCCAGAATGATCTGAAGTGTTTGTTAAAAACACTAGTTCACCCTTTCAGTTGTCAGATATTCTCTAAGTAAGCTTTTCCATCTAGGCAGAATAGAATTTGACTTGTCATTTGAATACAGTAAATTATGTTCATTGATCTCAGACATCAATAGGATTTATTACTTTCTATTACTACTATAGTAAGGGTTCTTTAAAATAAAGTTATAAAAACCAAATTTAAAAGAGCCTGAAAGGTTAAGCCCCTCAGCCAAGTCATCAGATTACAGAGAATGGAAATAATACAGAAATTGACATCTAACAGGTAATTCTGAAAGTGTAAGAATGAAGGGTGACAGAAAACTGGCCAAGGCAGGAGGCAACTTTTAAAATCTTCTAGGTGATCAAATATATTGGATGGTTTAAAAATAAAACAAGATAGCTTGGTATACAACAAGATAACCAATGCAAAAATATTTATAACACATTTTATTTGGTTAAAAGGTTAACAGCTTTTGCTTAGTTAAAGGCTGTTAGGTTGAAAGAAGTTCACAAAAACAGCAACATAAGTTATAGGATGACCAAAATGATTTTAGAAGTTTAATATTACAAAATAGCTATTTTATACACATATGTGTAAACATAAGAATAAATTAATACTCATGAAAAGGTGGGGGGGGGAAGCCTTCATCACGCATTTCATCTTTGGATCCTTGTTATATCCCTGTTTTGACTTGGTATGGTTTGAGAATTCAAAAAAACCAGAATCCATACATTCACCTCATCTTCTCATCTTCCTGCAGAGTAGAAAAAAGGGAAGATGAACAGTATTAACAACTCAAAGCTGATGCTTTTGCTGTGAAGCATGGAGAAGAAAACTCCTGTATCATATATCTGGAATACTCTATGATAGTAGGAATTATAAAATAAGGTTTAAGAAAAACTGACCAACTTAGATTTCACACACTACATGTTTTACTATGTATTTCTTTTTTATTATGAACTTCAGCATACATAGAAGAATATATGAAAATGTACAACTTAAAAACAATAAATAAATGTTGATGTACCTACCACCCAGGTTAAGAAATAAAATATTACCACACCTCAGAAGCCTCCAGTGCACCCCTTTCTGATCACATCCCTGTCGTCCCCCAAGAAGTAATCACTATCCTGAACTGTGTTCATCTCTTCCTTGCTTTTCTTCACAGTAAAGGTGTTTTTTTTTTTTTTCAACACCTTTATTCACTTCCAAGTCTCTCCTTCACTGAAACATTAAACATTCTTATTTTACATTCTGTATCTAATTCTGCTATCAGTTGTTTCTGCTAGTACCTTGTTCCCTTGTGTATGTAGTGTTTACTATGAGCTAACTGTTCATTTCCCTTGGAATTTTATCTGTAGAAAATTTGTTGAGGACTAAGATGAGGGAGAGCTCTAGAAAATATTTGCATTTCCTTCTAATGGACAACAGGGGGCACTACAAGTCATGGGCTAATACTAAATCCTCAGCTTGAGGTTTTCTGTGACTTCCAGATATTATGAATTCCAGCTGCAATGCATGCGAGTTTGATTTTGGTTATGAATTCTCAGAAGATTTTTTTCCTCCTCAGTTCAGTACCAGAGTTATTTCTTGGGGCTTAAAAAAGCTGGTGGGAAGGTTATTTTTAGTTTGCCTCCTACTGAGAAAGTAGCTCAACTTTATTGAAGGTGATCTACTATTGGACTTTTCATTTTAGCTAAACCCTAGGATATGCCTTCTGTCCCCAGCCCCATAAAGCTGTGAATCCAACACTTAGGTTCACCTAGTTTGGTAAATATGTTCGGGCAAAAGCCAGAGTCCACCTGCCTCTCTGGGTTCCTGCTCTCATTCAGTCTCTGATGTGAGCTCTCTTTCTCCTTCTCTTCTGGCTAATAGATATGTTCAAGGGGGTTTTTTGTTTGGCTTTTGTTTTGTTTTTTAATATTTTACCCAGTAATTTTATTTTTTAGTTTGATCATACACCTAGTATATCATGTTGCAAAAAGTGGAGCTGTATTTATTCTTTACATTACACATGTTTTTTAGATGACATACATATACATGGTCCCAAATTACAAAGGTATAAATGGTTAGCTATCGAGTAGGTCTCTTTCCCTCCTCTGTACCCCTCTCTAGAGCCAATGATACCACTGCCTTGGGTAATTAGATAGAATTTAATTAATTCTTTAGAAGAGTTACCTATTCTAAATACAGCAAAATGCTGCAATGAAATAGTATTCTATTTTAGTTTAGATCTGTATGCCTATTGGGCATACAGATTATTTGGTAAATGGTTTAGTTGGTAAATTTTTTAAAAGCAAATATCACAATGAACATTAGTATAAATACTAAGAATGATGACAAACCAGCTGCCTTTTTTTTTTCTTTTTGGATGACATCCAGCAGATATATCACAGCTTCTGATAGGCCCCCAGTGAGAAGAGATCCTGAATGAAACTGCTTGCAAAGTATTATAGAATGATCATTTTAGGCACTGAGGATAGGGGTGGCAGAAGTTAACAAGAAGGTAATACAAATATATTTTTTAAAGTCTTTATCTTTTAAGTCCCAAAGCACTGAATATGACAAAGGGGGACATTTTCAATAGTAAAAGTCCTAATCTACAATGTGGATTAATCATGAATATTACTCTATGAGTATATAGTAATTATGATATTTATGTACCAAATAGCAGAGCAACTACCTTTATGAAGCAAAAACTACAGGAGATGCATGGAGACAGATAGGAACACAATAATAAGAGATTTTAATATACAACACTCTCAGTGCAAGATAGATGAAGTGGGCAAAAAAATAAGGAGAGAGAAGATCTAAAGGATATAGGGGTAAATCTTACGAATATATATCAAACTCTATACTCTGATAAAAGAGGGTACATATTCTTCTCAAGTACTCACAGCATAGTTACAAAAGCAAATCCAACAGCACATTATGAAAAACATATACCATGACCAAGTGAGATTTATTCCAGGAATGCAAGTTCAGTTCAATATTAGAAAACCTATTATCATATACCATGTTAATAAATCTAAGGAAATAAAGCATATAAATTTTTCATGGATACTGAAAAAGTCCTTGACATGATGCAACACTCATCCATGATTAAAACACTCAAAAGACATTGGGGGACATTTTCTTAATATTATAAATGGTATATACTTACTTTAATACTAAAGTCATTATCTTGTTTTTTTTTTTTTTTAAAGATTTTATTTATTTATTTGAGAGAGAGAGAATGAGAGAGAGCGAGTACATGAGAGGGGGGAGGGTCAGAGGGAGAAGCAGACCCCCCGCCGAGCAGGGAGCCCGATGTGGGACTCGATCCTGGGACTCCAGGATCATGACCTGAGCCGAAGGCAGTCGCCTAACCAACTGAGCCACCCAGGCACCCTCATTATCTTGTTTAATGGGGAGACAACAGAGTGGAAATACCACTCAAGTCAGGAACAAGGCAAGAATGCCCACTATTCCTATTAATATGTGAAACTGTACTTGAGGTATTAGCCAATGCCATAAAACAAGAGAAATCAATCAGAGGCATATGAATGGGTAAAGAAGTAAAACTAACTCTATTTTCAGATGGTATCATGGTATTCCTCCTCCATTAAGTTTTACTTGAGAGAATCAATGAGACAGATAATAAAAGAAATTTAGTTAAGTAGCAAGTTATAAACTTACACAGAATTCAACACCTTTCATACTCACAAATAAATACTGAGCATGATTTACATGTCCAAGTTACATGTGCATTCGCAACCAAGAAGACTAAATACCTACAAATCAATTTAACAAGAAATGTGTAAAACCCGTTTGAAGAAAATTTTAAAACACTTCTAAAAGTTACAAAAGAAGACTTGAATAAATACAAAGACATCTCCTGTTCTTACATAGCACAACTCAATACAAAGATGTTAGTTCTCCCTAAATTAAGGTATAAATTGAATGCAATTCCAATAAAAATACCAGCAAGCTAGACCAGTCATTTTGAACTCAAAGCAATTTCACCTCCTCTGTGACATTTTGCAACATTTAGAGATATTTTTGATTGTTTTAAGTGGATGGGTGCTACTGACATTTACTGGGTGGAGGGCAGGGATACTGCTAAATATCTTACAATGCACAGAACAGCCTGCCACAACAAAGAAATATCTAGCTCAAAATGTCAATAGTGCTGAGTTTGAGAAACCCTGAGCTTGCCAACTAAATACTAAAGTTCATATGTCAAAAAAAAATAAAATAAAATAAAATAATTAAAAAAAAAAAAGTTCATACGTAAAAACACCTAAGGAAACAATGGAAAAGAAAAACTATGAGAAGGCAGTAGCCTTACCAGACATTAAAACATCATATACAGCCTCTATACTAGACAGGTAGATCACTGCAATAGAATAAAAAGTCCAGCATTAGATGTACCCCCCCAAATACATACAGAAATTTAGAATATGACATGGTTGACATCTCCAATCTTTGGGATAAAGATGCATTTGTAAATAAATGAATGGTGCAAGTACAGATGGGTAGCCTTTGGAAGAAAGACAAAATTAGATCCATATCTTATACCTCACACTAAAAAAAAATTCTAAATGGACTAGGGATTTATGTAAGAAATAAAACTATAAAAATACTAGAAAAAAATATGATGAATTCCTCTTTAACCATGGTATAGGGAAAGACCTTCTAACTATGATTTAAAATTCAAAGAGAATGAAAGATTAAGAAATTTAACTATGTAAAAATAATTAAAAAAACAAAGTCAAAAAAATAATTGATAAACTCAAAAAAATACTGGCTACATATACTACAAGGGCTAATATCCCTAATACATAAAGAATTCATCAAAAACTAATGATGTGGGCGCCTGGGTGGCTCAGTTGGTTAAGCGACTGCCTTCAGCTCAGGTCATGATCCCAGGGTCCTGGGATCGAGTCCCGCATCGGGCTCCCTGCTCTGCGGGGAGCCTGCTTCTCCCTCTCCTACTCCCCCTGCTTGTGTTCCCTCTCTCGCTGTGTCTCTCTCTGTCAAATAAATAAATAAAATCTTTAAAAAAAAAAAAAACAACTAATGGATTAAATGTAAGGTGATTAAAATAACTTAATAAAAAAAAAGAAAAAAAAAGAATTCTTAATAACTGGGGGACAAAAAGACCAGAAATACAATGAAAAATAGAAAAAAGATATGAACAGATTAAAAAATGGTATAAATACCCCCAAGCATGAGGAAAGCTTTTAAATTCATTTAATAGAGAAATGCCAAGTAAAACAACACCAATATACCACTTCTCACTTACCAGAGTGGCAAAAATTTTAAAATATGACAACATATTCTTGTTGATTGCAGTGTGGGTAAAGGGTGCCACACTCTGCTGGTGGGAATGCAAATTTGTACGAGCCTCTGGAGGGAGGTGTGGCAAGACCTAACAGAACTACATATGTCCTTATTTTTCACCCGGGCAATCCCCTTTTAGGAATTTACTCTGAAGATCCATTTCTAACAATATGAAAAGATATATGCACAATACTACTCAATGTAGTTATTATTTATAATGGTAAAAGATTGGAAACAACCTAAATGTGCATATATAGGAATGTGATTGAATAAAAGGATAGTATATCTATACATAATTATTATCCAGCTGTAAAAAAAAAGGAGGAGGAAAATCTCTACAAATTGATATTGATTTCCAGAATACACTATTAAACAAAAGTAAACAAAGCCCAACAGAATAGCTACGGTATGCTGCCTTTATGTAAAAGG